TCTCTCTCTCTCTCTCTCTCTCTCTCTCTCTCTCTCTCTCTCTCTCTCTCTCTCTCTCACACACACACACACACACACACACACACACACACACACGCACACACACACACACACTGGCCCTAGAGAGACAAGCTCGGACATATGTGTGGAATAAACAAAGACTGAAGTGTTGTAGTAGGGGCGAGCAAAAGACGAAAAGAGAAGAGGAGATTAGCGGAGAGCACAGCAAGGGACGAAGAGCACACGCGTGCACGAAGCTGACGGGACTAAAGTGAGGCGGCGCCGGCAGTGAATTCGAGCCACTACATCGTTCGAAGTTTGAATAAGGAGTCGTTTTGCCAAGTGCGCAGGCCTGGGCATTCTGCAAAGTTGCCTACCGGTAGGAAGGGCAAACCGGGTAAAACTGTGCTAGAACAGTCATGTACGCACATGTCTTTCGCTGGATGCACACTGCATGTGAGGATCATACGATTGTGCGGTGTCAGCTTCCACTATCAGTAAAGCATCGTTGTCTTCATTCAGCCATGGTTGCTAGATCAGACTTTCATGTTAATTTAGACAATCATCCTTCGTGCTAACTGGAATATGCAAACAAATATCAAACATCACATCCTCATCTCCATTTTCTTCATGACTACTAGTTCGGAATCACATGTCTGTCTTACCATAGCTCATGGACAGCACAGATTCATAGACTCACTTCATTCAGACTCACAGTCTCACCATCTTCGCACTACTGCTCAAGGCTGCTTCACAGAAGTACTCACACATGACTCATAGACTATGCACACGACTAAGACTCACGGACAGCCCATAGCACATGACCCATAGACGACTCAAGACTCATAGACAGCCCATAGCATGGTCCAGGCCCATAAAACCGTGTCCAGACCCGGCCATCGGGGGCATGGTCCAGATTGTAAATGTCAACACCCACCTGACGGGGGCATATAAATTTCAGAATTTTCAGCCCAAAAGGGCATTCCGCTCTACCCACATCTTTTAGGGGTACAAGGGTACCCGCCGCGGAAGCGCCGCGGCAAGAAAAGAGGGTCTGCGCAGTTCACACACCGAATTGTGGACGGGTTTTTTCAAATGGTGCTGAAAGAGCAAAAGAAGAATTCATGAAGAGGCAGAAACAGAATGTCTGGAAACTGAAGCAGATCACAATGAAAATTGAAGCATGAAGTCGAAAGCACAATTGTCTCCAAGAGTTCAGGAGCAATGGAATCAGCACACAACGAAAATTGAAGAACTGAAGAACATACAGTATTGTCACTCGGCATTCCGTGTTGTTCTTTTTTGTCTTTCTTTCTCTGTTTCTCTCCCTCTATCGCACATTATGTATCATGTTGGATAGAAGAGTGATAGAGCGAGTGTGTTGAGAGGCAGGTCTTCAAAGTGCGCCCGATCTCCAATGGTTGCGTTGTTGAAGAAGGCTATGCGTGTGCACGGCTCCGATTCTGCTCCTTGTCGCTGGTCTCGCTTCTGCTCGCCACCAGTGATCTCCCTCGCTCTCTGTCACCCTCCCCTGTTGCCACATGATGTTGCAGAGTGGCTCCCTGCTTGTGTTTGCCTTGCTGCGCCCGTGTGTCCCAGCGTCCAGCAGAACTTGTAGGTGTGTCGTCATGCGGCGCAGCAGGAGTTGCAGGTTTTGTTTGTTGTCTCCGAGCAATGCGTCGATGTTGCAGTGTTGTTGTCGTCGTGGCGAGTTCGGTAGCAGGATTCTGGTCTTGCGGTCTTGTTGGAGAAGCGGCAGGGTTGATGGGTTGTTTCTTTGGATTG